AGTACACACACACACACACATTGGATCTGCATTTTTGGATTGCCAGAAAGCCTTTGACATAGTATCACTCAAGAGGCTAGTGAAAAAGCTGGAGATGCAGGCAGGAGAGAGTGTAAAGGTTTTCCATTGGATAAGAGAGTACCTAAGAAACAGAAGACAGCGAAGGGTGCCTCTCTAGTGCAGGCTTGGAGTAGTTTCCTAAGTATGTTTTCTGTTATGTAAAGAGGAGTGCAAGCAGGGTCACGATACACTAATTGGGGGTACAATACTGGGCCGGCTTGCACTCCTCTTGACATACTAAAAAACATACTAAGGAAACTACTCCAAGCCTGCACTAAAGAGGCACCCTTCGTGAACCAAGATGGGCACATGTATAAGCAAGTACATGGGGTCGGCATCGGTTCTCCCTTAGGTGTTCTGTTTGCGAACTTATACATGGGTAGCATCGAGCAGAGGGTCCGACTTCTCATTCGGTTTTGTTGAAGATATCATAAAAAGAAAGGTGAAATGGCATGCAACCTCTGTAGAGTCAACCAACACAACATTTGTACCTCCTATTAGACTATTTTACAGGAACTTCTTTTCGACGGCTCATAAAACGGAGGAAAGGGTCCTGAAAGATATTGTTGATAGGAACGTTATCCCTACAGACAAAAATCAGAAAATACAATTCACAATTTACTATAAAACCATAAAAACAAGCAAGCTACTCATGAAAAACTCCCCAGACACCAAACAGAACGCCTTGAAGGAAAGCAACGTCGTCTATGCCTTTAGATGCTCACTTGAGATTGTAAGCCCCAAAGGACTCAGTATATAGGCAAGACAACAACGTCTCTTTCCTGGCGATTAACAATGCATAAACAAAAGGCTCCATCAAGGAACATATAATCTCTTCTCACAACCAGACCATCACCAGAGCAATCTTAACAAACAACACAGAAATCATCGATGTTCAGCGATAGCAGGCGGCTCGACATCAGCAAGGCACTACATGTCAAAGAGTCAACACCAGCAATCGGCAGCCAATTAATGCACAACTATATTCAACCCACTTCAAGACCCCGAACCAATATGGAAGCAGGAGGAGGAAGTATGGGCCAATAGGCCTTCTGCAGTTACTTCCAGTCTTATGTTCTTATACTTAAGTTATACCAATTGTTTCGTGTTTTGTCTTATGTTTGTCAAAAGTTTATTCACATAACCCAAAACTTTGGTACCATATCACCTCACCCAATAGAGTATAAGTACAATGAGTTTGTGTGTAAATTAAGTCTTTGAAAATGTAATAAGCCATTACGAAACGCGTTCAGGCGTCAGACCATAGGTAAAAATGAATTTTGGAGAATTGATGTTTCCATTACCACTGACAGTGAAGAAAAACATAAGAAATATTGAGAAAATTCGTATTAGAATTATTAATAATCTTACCTTTTCGTTCATATTCAACAACATATGTTTACAAGAAAAACTGCTACCATATATATATATATATATATATATATATATATATATATATATATATATATATATATATATATATATATATATATATATATATATATATATATATATATATATATATATATATATATATATATATATATATATATATATATATATATATATATATATTTATATATTTATATATATATATAGGGGTACCACCACTGGTTTAATTAAAGGGACCCACATCCTCGAAGAAGAAAATAAATAGTGTTCAGAGAAGACCTTGTGGATTCTCACTGAATACTTTAATCTTTTCCTCTCCTACCACCCCTATTATTTATTTTTTTTTTTTTTTATTTTATTGCATTGTTACAGTTTACAGAAAACACACACTTATATAACAATATACACAATCAGTGTTCGAAGACCTCGTCCAGTTCCTCGGGGATCGGGTGCGTACCCGATATATAGGTTGTCCCGTCTTGAGTACTGCTCAGTACTCGCTTCCCCCTTCAAAGCAGGAGAGATTGCTGAAATAGAGGAATGCAGAGAACATATACGGCACGCATAGACGCAATAAAGCACCTAAATTATTGGGATCGTCTCAAAGCCCTCCAAATGTACTCACTAGAAAGAAGACGAGAGAGATATCAAATAATATACACCTGGAAGATACTGGAGGGCCAAGTACCAAATCTACACAGTAAAATAACAACGTACTGGAGTGAACGACATGGAAGAAAATGTAGAATAGAACCAATGAAGAGCAGAGGTGCCATAGGCACAATCAGAGAAACACTGTATAAACATCAGAGGTCCGCGGTTGTTCAACGTCCTCCCAGCAAGCATAAGAAATATTGCCGGAACAACCGTGGACATTTTCAAGGAGAAACTAGATTTATTCCTCCAAGGAGTGCCGGACCAAACCGGGTGCTGTGGTGGGTATGTGGGCCTGCGGGCCGCTCCAAGCAACAGCCTGGTGGACCAAACTCTCACAAGTCGAGCCTGGCCTCGGGCCGGGCTTGGGGAGTAGACGAACTCCCAGAAACCCATCAACCAGGTATCAACCAGGTATCAACCAGGGTAGAATATTGTAGTGCATTAATTGCTGGTGTTGACTTCTTAATGTGTAGTGCCTCGCAGATATCAAGCCGCCTGCTATCGCTGTATCTATCGATGATTTCCGTGTTTCGTTGTTAACACTTCTCTGGTGATGGTCTGGTTGTGTTTTTTTTTTTATTTTTTTTAATATTTAATATTTTTTAATTATTTTTATTGAATATTAATCTTACTTTTTCGGTCATATTTAATAATATATGTCTACAGGAAAGACTGCTACCAAAATATATATTATATATATATATATATATATATATATATATATATATATATATATATATATATATATATATATATATATATATGTATATATATATCGTTGAGTATTCTCGTGACCACTTCATTCTTTTTAAGGATTACAGTTTTCGTGCGTCGTGAGAGCTTCAAAGTAGAATTTCCCTCGACAGGATTTGGGATTTCTCTCTGATGGGATCTTTGGAAAGAATCGTTTTCCTTTCACGTTGAAACAGCCTTAACTCTGAAATATATTTTCCATTATATTTGTATTTTTATGTCATTGCTTTTGACGGCTCCATTAGGAAATTTTTGGTAAGTTTCCTGGTTTTCTGGTTTCTTAAAATAAATGTTTCCTCATGTGGAAAGTTGTTCCTCTTTCAGTAAATGTTTCCACTTTCAGAATGTGGTTTCTCATTCTGTAATTACTTTCACATCCAAAAGTGTCTCATCATTCAGTAATTGTTTCATCATCATTCAATAAATAATTATTCATTAAGAAATGGTTTCAAATGGTTTCTATGTTTTCAGTACACTACAGCTTAATTCAGTAAACCGTCTTATCTTGTGATGATTTCGGGGTTTAGCGTCCCCACGGCCCGGTCCTCGTCCAGGCCTCCTTTTTGTTACACACTTCCAGGAAGCAGCCCGTAGCAGCTGTCTAACTCCCAAGAACCTATATACTGATAGGAAACAGATGCGTCAGTGTGAAAGAAACTCTGCCCATTTGTTTCCGCCTCCACCGGGGATCGAACCCGGAACCTCAGAACTACGAATCCTGAGCGCTGTCTACTCAGCTTCCAAGGCCCCTTAACTATAGCCTAATTCCGTATACTATAGCTTAATTCAGTAAATAATAGCTACATTCAGTAAATAATACCTACAATCAGTAAATAATAGCTACATTTAGTAAATAATAGCTACAATCAGTAAATAATAGCTACATTCAGTATATAATAGCTACAATCGGTAAATAATAGCTACAATCAGTAAATAATAGCTACATTCAGTAAATAATAGCTACAATCAGTAAATAATAGCTACATTCAGTAAATAATAGCTACAATCAGTAAATAATAGCTACATTCAGTAAATAATAGCTACAATCAGTAAATAATAGCTACATTCAGTAAATAATAGCTACATTCAGTAAATAATAGCCACAATCAGTAAATAATAGCTACATTCATTAAATAATAGCTACAATCGGTAAATAATAGCTACAATCAGTAAATAATAGCTACATTCAGTAAATAATAGCTACAATCAGTAAATAATAGCTACATTCAGTAAATAATAGCTACAATCGGTAAATAATAGCTACAATCAGTAAATAATAGCTACATTCAGTAAATAATAGCTACAATCAGTAAATAATAGCTACAATCAGTAAATAATAGCTACAATCAGTAAATAATAGCTACATTCAGTAAATAATAGCTACATTCGGGGATTACATTGTCATCAAGTCACTATATTAAATGATATTGGTTTCTCTCAAAAGAAGTAGCTGCCTTCATATTTTATTTTTATTTATATATACAAGAGTTGGTATATTCTTGTACGGCCGTAACTACATTCTTGTACGCATAGCGTTTCGGCCGGGTCCTTAATCCTAATTTTTCCCCGGAATACAACCCGCCAAATAGTTTAACAACCATGTCTCCGTGGTGTAGTGGTAAGACACTCGCCTGGCGTTCCGCGAACGTATTGTCATGGGTTCGTATCCTGGCCGGGGAGGATTTACTGGGCGCAAATCCTTAACTGTAGCCTCTGTTTTACGCAACAGTAAAATGTGAACTTGGTTGTAACAACGATTCTTCGCGGCGGGGATCGTATTCCAGGGACCTGCCCGAAACGCTACGCGTACTTGTGGCTGTACAAGAATGTAACAACTCTTGTATATATCTCAAAAAAACAACAACAGGTACCCATTCAGTGCTGGGTGAAAGGAGGCTACTGTTAAGGATTGGTGCCCAGTCAACCCTCTCCGGCCAGGATACGCAGACCGTCCTTCTAAGGTTTTCCAACCTCAAGAAACGGTTGTACTAAATTACCCTTATCCTAACTTACCAGGCTACGCAAAACAGAAAACGGGGATTAGGTTGTTGTTATTATTAGATACTTGCTGCCTTCATATTAGCTGCCTCCTTATTATCTGCCTTCTTTATAGTTCCCTTCATGTTATCTGCCGCCTTCTAATAAGCTGCCCTCTTATTAGCTGCCGTCTTATTAGCTGTCACCTTACTAGCTGCCTTCTGACTAGCTTCCTTCTGACTAGCTGCCTTCGTATTAGCTGCCTTCTGACTAACTGCCTTCTGACTAGCTGCCTTCATATTAGCTGCCTTCATATTAGCTGCCTTCATATTAGCTGCCTTCATATTAGCTGTCATCATGTTAGCTGCCTTCATATTAGCTGTCATCATATTAGCTGCCTTCTTACTAGCTGTCATCATATTAGCTGCCTTCTTACTAGCTGTCATCATATTAGCTGCCTTCTTACTAGCTGTCATCATATTAGCTGCCTTCTTACTAGCTGTCTTTATTGGTTGTTTAGACATTCAGTGAGCACGGCTTAGTCTAGCAACTGAAGCTTTACACAACACGAACACGCTCATTCAGTAAGTGAAGCTTGACTTAAATGTAAATGCTTCATTCAGTGCCTGTCACTTCTTTCCTGTAAAGATTAATTCAGGAGTATCGCTTCTTTCCTGTAAAGATTCATTCAGTGACTGTCGCTTTTCTCTTCTATAGCTTCATTCAGTGATTGACGCTTCTGTCTTCTATAGCTTCATTCAGTGATTGACGCTTCTGTCTCCTATAGCTTCATTCAGTGATTGACGTTTCTTTCTTCTACGGTTCATTTCTCTAATTAAATTGATTTCAATTATATAATTCCCGTGATTGTAAATTATTTAAATTTTACATGAAAAGTGAAATTTCATTTATATATGATTTTTTATGAAGTCTTTGAGAGATATTATTCGCCTGGTCAGAGGAAAATATACATAACATTACATATGAAAATATAAATAATATAACATATTAAAATATACATAATAAAAGTATGAAAATTAAAGAGACATGTAAGGCAGGCCTCGTTAGCGTTGTTTACGTTGAGGCTGGTAATACTTGCTTGTATGTGTATACTCGCGTGTATGTGTATACTCGCGTGTATGTGTATACTCGCGTGTATGTGTATACTCGCGTGTATGTGTATACTCGCGTGTATGTGTATACTCGCGTGTATGTGTATACTCGCGTGTATGTGTATACTCGCGTATATGTTTATACTCGCGTGTATGTGTATACTCGCGTGTATGTGTATACTCGCGTATATGTGTATACTCGCGTGTATGTGTATACTCGCGTGTATGTGTATACTCGCGTATATGTGTATACTCGCTTGTATGTGTATACTCGCGTGTATGTGTATACTCGCGTGTATGTGTATACTCGCGTATATGCGTATACTCGCTTGTATGTGTTTTCTCGCTTGTATGTGTATACTCGCTTATATGTGTATACTCGCTTGTATGTGTATACTCGCTTGTATGTGTATACTCGCTTGTATGTGTATACTCGCGTATATGTGTATACTCGCGTATATGTGTATACTCGCTTGTATGTGTATTCTCGCGTGTATGTGTATACTCGCGTATATGTGTATACTCGCTTGTATGTGTATTCTCGCTTGTATGTGTATACTCGCGTGTATGTGTATACTCGCTTGTATGTGTATACTCGTTTGTATGTGTATACTCGCTTGTATGTGTATACTCGCTTGTATGTGTATACTCGCTTGTATGTATATACTCGCTTGTATGTGTATACTCGCTTCTATGTGTATACTCGCTTGTATGTGTACACCCGCGTGTATGTGTATACTTGCGTGTATGTGTATACTTGCGTGTATGTGTATACTCGCGTGTTTGTGTATACTTGTGTGTATGTGTATACTCGCGTGTATGTGTATACTCGCGTGTATGTGTATACTCGCGTGTATGTGTATACTCGCGTGTATGTGTATACTCGCGTGTATGTGTATACTCGCGTGTATGTGTACTCTTGCGTGTATGTGTGCACTCGCGTGTATGTGTAGCCCCTCTACTACACCTTACTTTGCTCCTCATCTCTCGTGCCTATTTATTGCCAGTCTCTACTTCCTCATCACAATCGACTTGAGAATGGTCCAGGACGGACCGAAACGTCGTCGTCCCTTCACATTCTAGTGTGTGGTCTGGTCATTATACTTTAGCCACGTTATTGTGACTCATCGCCTGCATAGTAGAACTCTGTTTAGTGTTTGCAGGTTATAGTTGTGTGTAAACTAAAGTCTTTGAAAATGTAATAAGTTATTATGTAACGCGTTCAAGTGTCGCGTCAGACTAGATATAAAAATGAATTTTGGAGAATTGATTTTTCAATTACCATCGACAGTGAAAAGAAACATAAGTAATGTTGAGAAAATTCGTGTTAGAATTATTAATCTTACTTTTTCGGTCATATTTAATAATATATATATATATATATATATATATATATATATATATATATATATATATATATATATATATATATATATATATATATATATATATATATATATATATATATATATATATATATATATATGCGAACAAGCCTGAATGGTCCCCAGGACATATGCAACTGAAAACTCACACCCCAGAAGTGACTCGAACCCATACTCCCAGAAGCAACGCAACTGGTATGTACAAGACGCCTTAATCCACTTGACCATCACGACCGGACAAAATGAGGTGATAGCCGAGGCTATTTGAACCACCCCACCGCCGGCACTCGGATAGTTATCTTGGGCATAGCATTTTACCAAATCACCTCATTCTTTGGGGCACACGTGAGGAACACAAATGCGAACAAGCCTGAATGGTCCCCGGACATATGCAACTGAAAACTCACACCCAGAAGTGACTCGAACCCATACTCCCAGAAGCAACGCAACTGGTATGTACAAGACGCCTTAATCCACTTGACCATCACGACCGGACAAAATGAGGTGATAGCCGAGGCTATTTGAACCACCCCACCGCCGGCACTCGGATAGTTATCTTGGGCATAGCATTTTACCAAATCACCTCATTCTTTGGGGCACACGTGAGGAACACAAATGCGAACAAGCCTGAATGGTCCCCAGGACATATGCAACTGAAAACTCACACCCCAGAAGATGTGACGGGAAAATGTAGAAGTGTAGGTGTTCGGCAGTCCTCCTAATGGCTGGTGTCAATGCCTATCACATTTTAGCAAAAAAAGGTTGACTGCTTGGCTGTTGTCTGTGGTAAAGTAAGGGACGACACGCAAAACACATATATGTTTTGTAAACAATGAAACTTATTTTAACTTTAAAAATTATGAATAAGACAATTCCTTGGCTATGTACAGTGCAAACAAACAAGTCAAAAAATATAACATAAAAATTAAGAACACGGGTGACGTTACTCTACAAATATAATAAAGACAAAAGAATGAATAAACAGGTGCTGAGAATATAGAGCTAGCTGAGAACCTCCACCAATAAACAGAGCGTATAGCAGTTGGTTGTTCACAGCTTGAGAGCACAAGGATATTCTGATTTCAATGACTGGTTCAGGCACAGACATCGACTTGGTAGAGGGCGCTGAGGTGCAGATGTGCAGTCGGCGAGTCACCAATCAGAAGCAGGCAGGCTGGAATGGTAGTTTGCTGGTTGACGACGGTGGCGAGCCGGCATGGAGGGAGTGAGGAGTGGGGGGAGTTTAGAGTACATTTGCCTCCTGGTCAAAACGTTTTGTGCTATTGGTAGACGTATCTTGAAGGTAGCATCTTAGTGTTGTATATATATAAGTAACTTTAAGTAGGGAAGAGCAGGCTCAATCTCTCTTGAAAGAGATTACCGTCACAACTCTCCCCCGAAGCCTTCTCTAACGGGTCAAGTTACTTCTTCTGATGGTAGAGTGGTATGTGTAGCTGCCTCTACCTTATAGACTCTGGAGAGGGCGTCTGCTACGATGTTGTCAGAACCCTTGATGTAGAAGATCTCCAGGTTGAAATTCTGCAGATACAAAGCCCATCGTAGAAGTCGTTGATTGGTGAATTGGGCTTGCTGCAAGAAGCGTAGGGGATTGTAGTCCGAGTAGATGGTGGTAGACCGAGCACCTTGTAGGTACGATACAAAGTGCTGTAAGTTCAGGACGATGGAAAGAAGTTCCTTGTCGATGGTGCTGTAGTTCTTCTGGTGAGGTTTTAACTTGTAGCTGTAGTAGCTAACAGGTAGAACCTCCTCGCCTCGTTGTTGCATTAAGACGCCCCCGATGCCGGTACCACTGGCGTCGACATGGAGGATGAAAGGCTTCGTGATATCTGGTGAGGCGAGAATTGGATTAGAACAGAGCAGAGATTTAAGTTGTTCAAAAGCAATGGTTTGCTGAATGGTCCAATGATACCGTTGCTTGGGGCTGGTTAAAGTGATCAATGGTGTCGCTACCGTACTAAAATTCTTCACAAACCTACGGTAGTAGGAGGCAAGACCAAGGAAGCGCAGGAGCTGCTTCCTGGTGGTAGGCTGTGGGTAATGCTGGATGGCTTGAGTGTGTATGTTTAACGGAGCTAGGCTGCCACTCCCTATCACATGACCAAGATAACGCACTTTACCTTTAGCAAAGGTGGACTGGCCCAAGTTGATGGTGAGGCCGGCTGTCAGGAGCTTGGCGAACAATCGTTGCAGCTGGAGCAGATGTTCGTTCCAGCTGTTAGTTGCCACAACGATATCATCCAAGTAGGCGTAGGTGTGATCTAAGCCCTGGATGACGCGGTTGACAGCTCGCTGGAAGGTGGCCGGGGCATTACATAGTCCAAATGGAAGGCGTTCATATCTGTAAAGGCCAAAAGGAGTAATGAAGGCAGATATTTCCTTAGCTCACTCTGTCAAACACACTTGGTAGTATCCCTTGAGTAAGTCTAGTTTGGATAAATACCCAACATTACCAATGGCGTCAAGGATGTCATCTATTCTAGGTAATGGGTAAGCATCCTTGACAGTCACAAGTCCCAATTTCCTGTAGTCAGTACACAGCCTCACTTTACCGTGCGGTTTCGGCACCAAGATGCAGGGTGAGGCTTAAGGAGACTCATAAGGGGTGGATAGCCCATGATCCAGAAGGTACTGTACTTCAGCACGCATAACTTCCTTTTTGCTCGGGCTGATTCGGTAGAAAGGTTGACGAATCGGCCAGGTGTCAGGGAGTAGCTGGATGTCGTGCTGAACCACATTACACTCCTGTGGATCATCGCTGAACAACTTCTGATGTTCCTTGAAGATTCTGATGAGAGGAACACTATTACTGTCCTGCAAATAGGTATGAAGATCAGTTAGGATTTCTGAGTTGGAAGGCACTGACTCAGTGTTAGTGCTTTCGGGAAGGCACGGGAAGGTCTCACTGTGGAGGTATGGACCTTTAAATGTGGATAATGATACAACACAGTGGGGGGAGTACCTTGATACTGCTTCAGGAGGTTGACGTGGCACAATTGGGTGTTCCGC